GACGAGCCACAGTCCCAAGAGTGGGACTCGCATGGGTTACCAGCCAACATTGTGGTTCAGCTCAACAAGCTCAGTGGATTCAAGAAATACAAGGTCTCAGAGATCTTTTTCTTTGATCGGAGACGGTGGACCACAGTGGGCAGCGATGACTCGTTCTTCGAGATGGTGTCTTTGAGACCCGGAGCTGTTTACACCAAAGCCCAGTTGCAGAAAGAGCTCGAGTCTTTAGCCAATTGCGGTATGTTCGAAAAGGTCGACTTGGAAGGCAAAACCAACCCAGATGGGACTCTGGGTGTGACGATTTCGTTTACAGAGAGTACATGGCAGTCGGCTGATAAGTTTCGATGCATCAATGTGGGTCTAATGCCGCAGTCCAAGCCCAGTGAAATGGACCCGGATATGACTGATAAGGAAAAGCTCGAGTATTTTAGGAACCAAGAGAAGGATTATAAGAGAAGGATTGATAGGGCGAGGCCCTGTTTGTTGCCAGCGCCTGTGCAGAGAGAGGTGTTGCTGATGTTGAGAGAACAAGGGAAAGTGAGTGCTAGGCTGTTGCAGAAGATAAGGGACCGGGTTCAGAAGTGGTACCAGGATGAAGGGTATGCATGTGCCCAGGTTGTGAATTTTGGGAACTTGAACACCAAGGAGGTGGTTTGTGAAGTTGTAGAAGGGGATATCACGCAGCTGCTTATTCAGTTCCAGGATAAACTTGGGAATTTCGTCGAAGGGAACACGCAGATCCCCGTGTTGAAGAGAGAATTACCCAGACAGGTACTTATATAGAGTATTTGGTTGTTTGCTGAATTACAATTTTGGTTTCAAGATGTAGACTTTAATCATGGGATTATTGGTTAAAGGTGTATGTATATGCTTGGTGCTTAAGTTATATGTATGTTGGAAAACTTCCAATGGGTGATTTATTGATTGGTTGAATTTCTGGTGAATGTTCAAAATTGTTTTGCAGCTTCGACCAGGTTATGTTTTTAACATAGAAGCTGGGAAACAAGCTCTGAGGAACATAAACTCCCTAGCTTTGTTTTCAAACATTGAAGTGAACCCACGGCCTGACGAGAAGAATGAAGGAGGGATAATTGTTGAAATAAAGCTTAAAGAACTAGAACAGAAGACAGCTGAAGTTAACACTGAGTGGAGCATTGTTCCTGGACGTGGAGGTTATCCCACTTTGGTATGTGTTAAATGATCTCTCTGCTCTGTCGAATTCTTGAAGGTATAAATGTATAATTCTGATTGTTTTGTATTGTATTTTATGTATGTTGTGTGTTTAGGCTTCACTGCAGCCTGGTGGAACTGTTACATTTGAACATAGGAATCTCAAAGGACTGAATAGATCTATTCTTGGGACAGTAAACACCACCAACTTCTGTAATCCTCAGGTAATCTTGCCTTAATCAATAATGCACCTCCCTTGTTTAAGTTAACTGATGATTTAATACATTTGCATGAATTCTTGTGTCATGTATTTTCTGTGGTTTACTTTCCTCAGGACGATCTTGCTTTTAAGCTCGAGTACGTGCATCCATATCTGGATGGCGTGTACAATCCACGCAATCGTACTCTCCGTGTAAGCTGCTTCAACAGCCGAAAACTGAGTCCGGTCTTCACTGGTGGGCCAGGGGCTGATGAAGTTCCCCCTATATGGGTTGATCGAGCCGGCGTTAAGGCTAATATAACAGAGGTGCTTGTCATCATTTTTAAATGTTTAATGCATGTAGTCCTTTATTTTTTTATTATGATGATGATTACATAATTTAATTGGCTGTGCCTACCAGAATTTCACCCGTCAAAGCAAATTCACTTATGGACTTGTAATGGAAGAGATAACTACACGCGATGAACGCAGTCATATCTGTTCAAATGGCCAAAGAGTGTTGCCCAGTGGAGGAGTCAGTGAAGATGGACCTCCAACAACTCTCAGCGGTACAGGCATTGACCGTGTGGCATTTTTACAATCAAATATCACTCGCGATAACACCAAGTTTGTGAATGGAGCTATAGTTGGTCAGAGGAATGTGTTTCAGGTAACCTCATTGTCTTGTACCTTGTTATATGGACTTGCTTCTGTTTAGTTTTTAGAACAAGTGAGGGAAAGAAAGAAAAATGTTTAAAAGGGAAGCCATTCTGGTCTCTCTTTAGAATTTTCTGGAATTATGAACTTCATGAAATTTTGGTTCTGGCCGGAATATTATTTGTTAATGCATTTGATTATTGATACACATGATTGCATGCTCAGTCTTGTAGAATTAAAGAAAAATTCGCCAGGCGTATATGTATTAAGGTTTTCATAGGTGCATCAAGGTGAAAATGTGTTTGTGTGGAGATGTATATAATTCCATCTTGATGTTATTTTGGATGACTGTTGTACATGTTGTGAAATTTAAACTTCCAGTCATCCTTTTAAATTCTCAGTAGTGTTAGGGTATTGGGATCTCGTTCAGTGCTTTGAAATATAAGGTTGTTTTCCTTTTTACCTTTCTGTGTAACATGTTTTTGTCCTTAGCTAACTTGCATACTCTTTGTACTTATTACAGGTCGACCAAGGCCTTGGTGTCGGCAGCAA